GTTTCGTTCTTATAAAAGCACGGATGACCGCGATTGGCCCATATGTTGTAGTCTTTTGGACGCTGAGTCGACTGGTTTTGGTCCGAAAAGGCTGCGATGCAGCGTTCCTCCTTTATTCCCAATCGAACATGGTTGAACAAGCGGTCACGTGCTCCTGCGTACACCAGTCACCTGTTCACCGTGGTAGGGTACAACTTACTAGTCTGTTTGACCTTTTTTGGGTGCAGTCCTGTCACTCGAGTTGAACTCGAGTTGAACCTGGATGTGAAAGTTGTCGCCTGTTGGCGTGGTGACCAGGTGATTTGGGCACTCAGGAGCGCGCGGCCGCTTGTTCAACCATGTTCGATTGGGAATAAAGGAGGAACGCTGCATCGCAGCCTTATTGGACCAAAACCAGTCGACTCAGCGTCCAAAAGACTACAACATATGGGCCAATCACGGTCATCCGTGCTTTTATAAGAACGAAACGGCGCTTTTAGTGACATTTTGCATACAAATCCCCATCTCGTAGGGCGCAGTCACCCAGTTTCGGTGGAAGTGCGCGAGTTCGATTGGGATTCAAGTAGGAAGGGAGCGTCTCAGCTTTCTCGGACCAAGACCATTCGACTCAGCACCCCGAAGACTACAACCGGTGAAATTTTAATTTTTGCCTTAACTTCCCCTTTAACTCGTTAGAGTTAGCACTTCGTTATACATAATATTATGGCTTTTACAGTAACCCTTTGGAACTGCACTGATCACACGGCGTCAGAAGATAGCTGCAATTGCAAGTATATTCGTTCCATTTTCCATCATAACGCTAGTTCTACTTCACCGATTTTGACGATCTTGGGCTCGTTGGAAAGCTCTTGGAACGAGGATAACAGCGAACCCAAACTCATTCTGGAGAGCGATTGCTGTCTGCTACTGAATGCCAGGAATGCCAGCTGAATACCAAATCCAAAACGGGAATAGTCCTTGTCCCACCATTTCACTCGTGCTAGCTCAAAATCATTCAATTTTTTTTTAACACACTCACAAAAGCCGTGACAAAAAGCGCTGGGAGTGATGTCACACACTGCGTGGGAAGGAAGAGGGAAAATCCCACTTTTGAACGAATTTGCACTTCGCTGATGCATGAGAAATAGAGCAAACGTTCGAGCACTTGCCGCTCGGTTATACTACTGTAAAAGCCATTATTCTAACGAGGCGCATATATAACGATTTCCCAAAATTGACTAGTTTACGTGTATCAAAGGTAACGATTCTCACTCATTCTCAACGCTCAATAGGACAGTATATGCGTCGATTTCTGTATAACGATTTCTATTTTTAACGACAGATTTCTCCTCGTTAACTCGTTAGAGTTAGCACTTCGTTATATATATGGCTTTTACAGTAGCTCGTATCGATCCCGGAGTTTTTCGAGCCGACAGCTTAGATTCTCTGCTACCTCGTAGGTATTTCGATTGTTGAATTCGGTTGAGATTTGACTGAGTTGTGACTCGTTGAGTGCACTTGCACACATGACATCAGCTCGAAAGAGTTAAGGTAGCTCGGGCCTATATCGCGAAAAATATCGGACGTCAAAAACCACTTTCTGTTCGATTTCGTTCACATTTTCGGGATGGAAGTATCATGAGGGCAAGCTGTTAATCCCGAACTTTTGCTAGTGTGTAATAAATCCTTCCCTATATTTGGGCCTGTGAAAGCCACACTCATACGTTCGAATTTATGTCGCGAAATAAGAGAAAAATCTAATTTTACTATCAGGAGTTCGCTTTCCGGTTGTTTTTTTAGGCAGGCTTGTACCAAACTATGGTATAAATGCATTTCAATTCTTTTTCTATATGAAGTGGGAATGGTATTGCCTTCTCCCCCTGGCCCCGGTCACTCAACAACGCACCATTCAGTTAGCTTCAATACTAGTATTCACTTCTCAATAATAAACGGCGAGGGCACAGGAGGAGAAAGACGAAAAGACTAGACAGAAAACGACGACGGGAAAAGACACCCGGGAAAAGACTCACAGAAAACAACAAGAACAAGCAGTAATATTGCGA